CAGCAGGACGCGAGTTTCACGTGCCGGCGACATTCTCATTGATATCACCTCAGAATTCGATATCCCATGCATCTTAATTTTGTATGTATACATATTTTATTTGTATGTCGACACCGGATGTTAAGGGACCTCCCCGCACTCGTCACGAAGCACCCCGTTATTCTTAGCCAAAAATTACTTTTATTTAATTTCGTTTTAATGCACTATCATCTTATCGGCCGCTGCTGCAGCCGACATAATATTTGATATAATCGCATCAAGTTATAAATGGCAATCTTTTCCGACTTTTTCTCGGAAGTTATTTTCGACTAGTAGAAATGTCTTTGCATATCGCAAATTGTCGATTTTTTGTTGCGATTAATGAAACTTTTTTCATAACGCAAACATAAGGATCGACGTATTTGTAATAATTAAAAAGAGAAAGATAAATTTTTTTATCCGCGAGTGGAAAATTATTTCTCTAGAAAAAGATTATTGTTTTATGTAAAGGATTAAAAATCTTTTCTTATAATTTTTGAGAAAGGTTTATGATGTCGGAATTACAGCTGCCGAGAAGACGATCCTTAGATGTTAAGTTTCCTCCGTCACTGTTTGCTCGAAGAAGCGACTCGATCCCGACGTTCTCCAGAGCGACTTTTAGATCTTTCCAAGTCCTGGAGGACTCGGGATTGTCGAGGAGTCGACTGCGACGTGAGGCCAGCGATTATTATTATTTTTTACAGACTTTTGTTTTGCATGTTGCGCATTGTTGTTTTATTTTCTTTTTCTCTCCGAAAAGGAGAGCAAAGAAATTGTGGAAAATAAGAAAACGATAAATATATATGTATATGTGTATATGATTTTTTGTTGCATTTATATTATTGTATAATATTTTTTATTTGTTGCCCTTTTGTTTTTCTCCTCGAATTTTTCCTTCTTGGTTCAATTTTTACATTCACTAGTGTAAATTCTTCTTTTGTGAATTTTTGTTGGATTATTGTATTATTAATAGATACACACACAATACACCCATGACACTTATAAAAGTATGACGCACATCACACATAATTGATAAAAAAATGGACAATTTTAAATCAATTAATTTGTTTGATGTTAGTATCTTTTCGTTGATATTCTGTCATTTTATCGCATTTTATGCCCCTCCCATATTTTTTATGAAAATTGTAAAAAAAAAGTATGCAATGATTTTTATTTATTGCAGCGCTATACACAATTTTCTATTTTATGATTAGTCTTAAGTTGACATCATTCAAACGTATTTTTAATTTTACTTTAAATCGTGATTATAATATTCGCTTTTATGATCAGTAGGCAAAGTATTTAGATTATTTTGCATGTATCGATATATTTTTTTATGAAGTATCATCAGCTCGATTATTTACTTATCACTCACTTTACGGCTTTTATATATAATGCACCGTAATTTTATGGAAGATATATTTTTTTGCTAGAAAAATATGTATAATATTGATATCTTCTAAATAGAGGGAGACAATTTTTTTTCAAACATCTATATCTTTGGAGAAAGTATCGATAATTTCGAAAAAAGAATAATTTTGACAATATCTTTAGAGCAAATGATTATATGAAGAATAAGAATAATATAAAAAAACAGTATGAAGCACATTTTTTTTAAGTTTTAATTAACAATAAAATTGACTGGAAATAGTATTTTTTTCATATTGATCCTTTTAAGAATAAAATCAAAGCACATTAAAGATTGTCGAAATCTGTATTAAATAATGTTGAAAGATACTTTCGAAGAAAGCACGAAATATATAATTTATATATTTGTGTAATATTTGATAGTGAATTAGTAGAAATGTCGATCCTCGGTTAAATTAATACTTATGAAATCTTGAATCAATTTAATTCGACAGCACTTACTAATTATAATCTTTCCGCAGAGTTCTCGTCGAACAAATCGGATAGCGGCAACGAGACCTGGAAAGAGAAAACCCGTGGCCTGAACCAGGGTTCCTCACCGGCTGCGATGGACATATCGTCGTCTCCGAATTCTTCGTCGTCCTCGTCATCGTCAAACGTACGGGCGAGCACGTCGTCGTCGACAACGACGACGAACGCTGTACCGACGACGACAAACGCGGGCGCGACATCAACGACGACCAGCGCGGGTGGCGGCACGCTGACCCGGAGCTCGTCGGCGTCGCCAGCTTCCAGGACACCAAGTAGCGGCAGTGCGAATACCACATCCGGCGCTGGCGCAATGTCAGCGCCTAGCGGCCGTCAGGCACCGAAGCGGCGGATGCGACGTCGCGCCACTTCGCAGTCCCAGGATCCGGCCGAACAGCTGACGGAGATGTCAGTGCGCGGCTTAAATCTCTTCCGTTACGCTTCCATCAATGAGGGCGTTTATCAGTGCACCGAATGCGCCAAGCTCGACATCCAGAAAACCTTCAAGAACAAGTATAGCTTCCAGCGGCACGCGTTCCTCTATCATGAGGGTCATCAGCGCAAAGTGTTTCCCTGCCCGGTATGCGGCAAGGAGTTCTCGCGTCCGGACAAGATGAAGAATCACATGAAGACCGTGCACGACTGTTTTATGCCCAAGGATTGCGTCATGCCCTTCGGCTTTTATTTGCCTGGTGGGCCTTAGCGGGCGGGGCGAGGGCGAGGTGGGCTGCCGATCGGCCCGGCGGCGGTTCAGAGGCACGCGAGGAGGCTCAGTGCCACCGCGACGTCCAGAAACGTGGCCGCGGCGGCCAGGGCGACGGCCTTTAGGCGCGGCGGCCGCTCTTGAGCGATGCTTGTTTGGCAACGGGGTGGATGAATAGAGAGAATCGCGGGTTTATAAAGATTGAAGGATCTCGAAACGAAAGCAGCGCAATCTTGGAAAAATTATTTGAAAAAATAGAGTTTAGATTTATATAATATTTATCGAAATAGAGGAAAATGTATGCGTATATGCGTATAAGCATTTATACTAATGATTAAATATCAAATGTACAAACTTTCAACTTTATTTGCATATAATTAACATTTTTCAAAATTGCAAAAATGGAAAACTAATTCATTATGATTGGTATAGTAATTGCTGCTGCCTTTGTTAGTAGAGCTATCACGGACATATTGGCAAACAATTGGTAAGTAAGTAAATTGCTTTCCAGCAAGAGAAATCTTGCGGAACAAGTTGCCGAAGAAAGTAAGCCAACTGTTGATTGGATATTATTATCTTTAACATTTTATCTGCTCACTATTGCTATCATCGCGTTTGCCGACATACGTAAGATATCCCATGCCGAAAAAAATTTGGACCAACTGCGTAGCCCATCTCACCCCCGCGATGACGGTGATGATCGATGATGATTCGTTTCGGCCTATCCTCCGTGAAGCAGAGGATAAGAGACTTTCAAAGAAAAAAAGACAATGTTGTCCTTTGAGAAAATACGAGAGAGCGAGCTCAAAGGGAGTCTAGAGAAGAAGGGGGAAGGGCCGATGATACGTGACAAAGACAAAAAAAAAAAAAACAGCCTTCTTTAGCTTCCTATGTACATTAGTATTATATGATCCTTGAACTGTGCAATAACGAGCTCGATCCTCGGTTACTCGTCGAATCAGCGTAATTCAGACAGCACGTGAAGAGAAATTGTGGTGCATTAGCGGAACAGTCTTTTTATAAATTATTCTATTTTCGATCAAAAAGCACGGAAGACATGTGGTGATCAAGTCAAAATGATTATCTAAAATATATAAGACAAAAATTCTTGAAATCGTAACGATTAAATTGATAGAAATTCGCTTTCTACATGCACCACGAAACAGTGTCGTGATTCTTATCCCCTGAAAAAGTCCTCGTATCAAATGTTCGAAAAATCGAACATTGGTCTTCCGAGCAGCATCGAATTAAAAGCACTATTTCTTATGGAAGTATACTCAGAATCTTTAGAACACTTACGATATAAGAGTTGCTTCAAAAAAAAAATAAGAAATATCCCTTTCTTAAGAGAGCTCGACTATTCGGGGCCCGAAACGAAAATCTGTGACTAAATGGCAAATTTTTTCCGCCGAAAAATGATAAATGATGAAGAAAAGATTACAGTCTCAATATTATTTATCAACTTCTAACGTTTCACGAACAATACAAATACGAATCATTTTGACATGTCAAATATCTCTTGTGCCAGCAATATAGAAAGAGATATCTTTTTAATTTTATATACACATTAAATATTCCAAGTTTTAAAAGTTTTTGTTAAATTAGAATTCACTCGAAATTAAATGTAAATTTAGAACAATTAATTGCCGATTTATATTCCTTGAAAAATTTAATTTATCAAAATTATTTTAATGTTGAAAACTCGATTTAGATTTGATTAAATAATGCATTCCTACTTTCCTATGGAATTTTTGCGCGCGATGCAATATATAAGAAAATTATTAAAATTAAGAGAAACCAAATTATTGTTTCGTGAAACGAGCAGAATTAATATGTTAATTCTCTCTCGACATATACGCGAAAAAAGAGAAAATAAAAAAAGAAAAAAACGAACGAGGAAGAAAGAGAAAGGGAGAAAGACGAGGATGTATATTTATCGCTAAGTATATTAGTGTGGCTACGTAGAGAGAGAGAAAGAGAGAGAGAGAGAGAGAGAAAAGAAAAGAAAAAAAAGATTCGAAAGAATATGGGGAATATATCCTGTATAGTGTAATCTTGTCTGGTGTACAGGTTTACAGGTTTTCTTTCCTGTTTTTTTTTTTTTTTGTTTCTCGAGGAAGTGTATTATAGCATTATTGATTATTGATTATATTAACTAGTTACTTGCTATTATCGATTACTTTCGCACTTGCTATTGATACAACCATAACATTATTTTTATTGTCACTGTTATTATATTACAGCTTATTATATTATTATTATTATTTTTATTATTATTATTGTTCGATAAGGATTATTATCTTTTAGCTCTGGACCAGCATGGATATAAAATTGGTTATTATTAAACTAATTATTATTATTATATTAAGTATGTAAGCGAATGCACACATAGACGCACGCGCACATAGAGAGAAGACGTTATATGTTGTATATGTACACAGATATTTTGCAGAGACGCATACATAATGTATGGATCTCTTGTTTCCCTTTTCCTTGCCAATGCAATATATATATATATATATATATGTATCGATGACCGTTCGCCATGTTGTTGTTGAGCCGTTTGAGTCGCAAAGAGAATGTTGCGAAAACATTTTTGGGGGAGCGGTGATGTGTGAAAAAAGTGGGGGAGAAAAATGGAAGGTAGAAAAAGCGCTGCAATCTCGTGAAAGATTGCAGAGAGGGACGGTTTTAACGACACCAAATACAAGATAGTACTGACATTGGATAGACTGAAGGCACCTTAGTAATAACTTAACAACGCCGCCGCCATGTCGGACCGCCCGGCTTGTTTGGCTGATTCCACTTCTGGACGAACATTCGCGGAAAAAAATTGGTGAATCGTATGATGACTTGAGAAAGGTTGTACATTGCTCATATCATGAACTTTTAGGTAGCTTGATAAATCAATGTAACAATATATCGTAATTGGAGAAAACGGAACAGATTTCGAAACAGCCTTTTTTATATCGAAGATACGATATAAAAAATAGAAAATATAACGAATTGCGGAGATTTATCCAAATTACAATTTCAATTCGATTTTGTAACTTTATAGTTTCTTGAAATTTTTTTCATTATATTACGATTTTTTATGATGCTTTTATAATGAATTGATTTTAATGTAAAAACATAGAATTTATGTTAACATCTATAAAAAAATTGTTGAATTTTTGATTTATTTATATAGCATATATATAAATATTGTTTATCGTTCTTCAATTTTCAATCAAAGATACCAGATTTGTTTACTGAAAGTTTTTATTTTCATAGCTTTTATGAATTCTATTCCAAGTGCAATAGTAGCTTCAAGTTAGTCATTTTTGCTATATGTTTTTCTATTAACTTTATCCTTAATTTATTTTCTATCTAAAATTCGCCAATTTATCAAGTCATAGCCTGCCTGAATCTTGAATAGTCAACAATGAATAATATAGTTTTTATATTATACGACATTTTAGATTTCTATAATTATAAATTTTTAACGACAAGTAAAAAAAAAGCTATAGTTTTATTTAACTATTATTTTACTCTATGCGATTTTATCATTTTGACAATTTCAGATGAGAATTTTCAAAGACGCGGTAATATATGTGGTAGTTAGAGAATAATACTGTTAATTTTACTGATATGTGTAAAAATGTGAAGATTTTCATTCGAGCCGCGAGTGACTTCATCAGCCGAAACAGGCCGCGTAGGTGATACGGTGATGGCGGTAGAGGCTTAGTCGCGAGAGAGAGCACTAAAAATACAAGATCGTAGCTTACTATATTTTGCACTTTACACTCCGTCGAATACCCTCCCTCCTCCGTGGAGAAAAGGGCGAGACGATTTATATACAAATTTTTCACTAGTTGGACATAGACATTAGACGACTAGAGGCTACATAATAACTATAACTATTATTATTATTACTGCTACTATTAATCAGTTATTACAAGTAACAGTGATCTTCGTTGTTACTTTAACGCGCGGCGTGGGGTCCCATCCCGCGCGATCGACCAGTGTTGTTCGTTCGTTATTCAAGAGGTTTCTCTAGCGTTGCAAGGATAACAAAAGTTACAGTCGTAAGGGCCGGATCGTTGTTGCGTGAGCGAAAATGGGCTCCGTGATCTCTCCGGAATAAGTGCTTTCGCTTTTTTTTTCTTTCTCCTTTATCAAAAGAACGCATCGTGATGGCAAAGATCTAACTAGGAGCATTTTCCACAATTACATAAAATCGTTTTAGATAGAATGATATTCGACCAAAATTCGAGCGGTTCTACTTAAGGATTAGAATACTGGTTTCAAATTGAGAGAACATTCACACGATGTTAGGATTTTTTTCGTGCTATCTATCCCGAAGAGCAATTGCTCAAAATTATCGAGAGCACTCATTCTGCATTTAATTCATGGAGCTCAATAAGATTGCGCCACGATTCAAGCATATGTTTTAGGCAAATAGAGAGTTCTATATAATACTAAATAGTTAGGCGCAGAGGCAGCAAAGGTAGCGCAATAGACGTAAGAGGGTGATAGGGAAATGGATTTGTTAATGGGAAGGAAAAATGGTGACGGGATTGTGTTTCGTCAACATTAAGCGGGATTGGGTAGTGAACCGTGCCGTGGATGTTGTTCGCGCACTCAGGTCAATTATCCGCAATATATTCGAAACTGCGATGGACCAAAGAACTTCTTACCGACCCTTATAGATTATTTATCCCAAGAAAAAGGACAAAGATGTGTCCTGTGGAGAAATCTCCCGCGAGTCTCAAAAGCCTAGGATATGCGGTGCCAATGAAAAAACATAGCGATCTCTTTCAATTCAATTTCCATTACTCGTATCAAATTTTATAAAAATTATTGTCGATTAGAATAGTACTTAGCGGCCAAGATATTCATTAATTAATTCTTGGTAAAGGATTAAGGCACCAAGTATTTCTGGGATAGGAGAATCTCGCGTGTGCCGTCAGGTCAATTATCCACAATATTCAAAACTTTGATGGACCAAAGAACGTCTAAGGTAGGATTCCCTAAGGACCCTAGAGAAAAATCGTGCGAAAGTGGGTGAAAGCGGGCGGTCACGGCCCGGTTCTACGATGGGTTGTCTAAAACCCATTGTCCAATGTGTGTATGCGATGACACGACGGAAGAATTTATGGGGGTGGGTTTTCACGAAAAAAGGAGAAAAAACAAGAAAAGTGCAAAGAGGCAGCGGCTAGACAGCTTATATCGATTTTTAGAGAGAGAGAAAGGCAAGCAAATATAAATATAATAATTAAATACACACTCACATTTGATAATCACTGAGAGGCTAAGACTAACTCAATTAATTAAAGAATGGAAGGCGAAAAGGATTGTCGTTTCGAAGAAAGAGATCACTGAGAGAGAAAATGCTTGCAGGTCATTTTGATGGATAATTTTTCGAAAAGATTTGTCTGGGTTGTTGCAATTTTTTCTCGAATTTAAACGAGTCGATTTTAACAGTCGAATTTATCGTCATCGTTGCTGTTGTTTCGCGCGGGACCTGCAGAGTTTTCGTCGGTGTGCGGTTTTTGAAAGTTGCAATTTTATCAGTCTGTATAATAATAGCTTTGGTTCACCCTAGTCGATGTCTGCGTGAGAAGCGTGAAAAAGGGTGTGAGAATTGGAGATTTATTATTTCTTCGACACGATTTATCATTCTCACATTTTGTTATTTTTTCTTCCGTGTTATTTAGAAATTTTGCATACACCAAAGGATTATGTGCATGTGCTTATGAATATATATATATATA